ACTATATCTCCAAACATGTTTCTGGGAGCATTGTTCCTGATACGAGACAGATATCCATTCATAGGGATTGGCTATAAAAAAAAGTCTGGTACAGGTATATCATTTTTATGGAACCACAAAAAACAATGAGACAGAGATCTATATGTACTGATATGAAAAGATATCAAAGATCTATGGCCAAGTGAAGAAAAAAGCAAGTTACAGTACACTGTACATAATACGGTTGCGAGTTTATAAATATACGTGCGTGTATATATTTATATACTGATAGATAAAGAAACTCTATGAGCTGACTTACCCAATAGTCTCTGGAAAACGGGTCACTGAGATCTGACCTTTTGCACTGTGTGACAGATTAGGCTTATCAGTCACAGAGGGTAACAGCTCATGCCGGGACCCACCTCCTCAGCCACAGGACAGAGTGCTCCCCGTGCCTGGGCACCCTCTTTGGTGGTGAAGCCCTTCCCTGCTCCCCATCTTAGGTGGGAAGGGAGTTTGGGAGGGAGAGAAGCACGTCCTCTCCTTGTCCGCTTACCCCTGGCTTCCTGCTCTGATGGAAATGTCCCCCAGGATCACGGTTAGAGATGCTGCAGCCGCATCATCTGGGGACTTGGCCTCCCCTTTCCCCAAACTTCCCCCATTCCAGTGGCCTGTGGTCATTTCAGTGTTAGTGTGCATGGCGGGAACACGGTCAGACGCTGCCTACTGCCCAGCCTGGGGGTCCTGTTACCTACTGGGCCAACATGCCCTATTGGGCACCGGGCTTACAGTAACTGGGCATCATGGCATGAGACAGTCTTAGGGTCTCTGGCATCAGGCGGATCTGGGTTCAGATCTCTGGTTTCTGGCCCTACTGGCTATGTGACCTTGTGTGAGTCGTGCACCGTCCCAGCCCCAGCTTCCTCGTCTGTGCAACAGAGATTAGATCCTCATTCTGAGAGAGCAGGTGTGAGGACCATGTGGAAACAATGTGCTCCATATGTCACAGTGTCCGCCACGTGCTTTACGCTGCACACATTACAGCTACAATTTAGTTCCAGACACGCGTCTCTGCTCTAAGAAACTAAGTTCCAGGAGCGGCCCAAGGTCACAAGCACGTGTGTGGCCAAGACGAGGTGCTTATGTTGAGACTATCGTTAAAACCCAATCCTAATACTTAAGGTTTGTCATCACGATCTAAACTTAAAATTCCAGGTTTAAAATCAGGGAAAGGAATTTCTGTTTCTGTCTCATCCGCACCCTCATCCCAGGCTTTCATCTTTCTCTCCAGAAGCAAATGTTGCTATAAGAAACTTGTTATTATATGTAGAGAAAAGATGGCGTTCACTATGTCACAGTGTCCTCTTTATGAGAGAAAAATCTTAGTTCCGGGAATAAGTGTGCTTCCACGAAACTTTTTAAATCTCGAGGACACAATAAATATGTAATGATCCTATTTCCTTCATCGTCGTGGCTCCTAGGAAGCCCAGAGCCCTATTTCTACTTGTTATAGGAACATTTCCGAGGTTCCCATTCACGTTGCATTATGGATTTGAGAAGGTCCCAGTGCTTCCTGAACGACTGGCTTATCTCCTCGGTGTGTGTGAACACTGTGAATTATGTAAAGGTCCCTATTCCCCCTCCGCTTTGTCTCTGGGAAATCTCCAGTGAGCGTAAGCTTTAGAGTAAGTATCCTGCTTACTGCATTCAGCGGCTTTACTTCTCCCCGTCTCTTAATTTCTCCCTAATTGATTACCACATTTCTACAAATAT